CAACGAACTTTGTGTCTGGGTAGAGATAGATGAGATATAACTAAGAAAAGAATATCATGATGAAAACCTGAAAAAACGAAGGAAAAAGACTTATAAAATCAAAAGGAAAACAAGCCCAAAAGGACTGGACTCAGAAAGCAACAAAAAATAATCATTGGAGAAGAAAGGCAAACAACAAGTACCCAAAAATTTATCCTCTGGTTGTTAGAACAACATGACTGACCATCCAAGAGGAATAAGAAGAAGACTATCAATATTCAATAGGGTGGAGTGTCAACTTTGCATCATCGCGCGTGTAGGCATAAAAAATTGCTCTATTAATAGGGGTGTCAATATTTGGCACAATCGGGTTAGAGTTAACCCGTTTATCAAATGGGTGAGATTCGGGTTCAACAATTTAAAAATTGGATCAGATTCAGGTTGACCTGGAAACCCGACAATGGCCTGGACCGACCCGAAATTCCGGTTGTATAGTGCACAGGATGACATGAAATCGAAAATCCCGATTCAATTCTTGCCTGCATTCGCGTCTCGCTAGTCAACCTGGTCTGAAGGCCCCACAGTCTGTCTTAGGGGTGCAAATGAGTCGAGTCGAGCTCATGCCAGAGATAGTTAGAGCCTAGCTCGCTAATGTGCATGTGGCTCGAACTTGAGCTCCACCTTGACTCGAGTCAAGAACTCGAGCTCGAGCAAGACTCCTGTGTCTGAATCCCAGGCTTGAATTCGGCTCGTTGCTCAAGCTCGTAAAGTTAGCTCGATAGCCAAGCTCGATTACAAGCTCAAATTGAATATTTTTTTATGTTATTTTAATAATCAAAATTATGTTTTTTTATAAATTTTTTACAATAAAAAAGCACATTAATAAGTTACTTAAAAAATCTTGATGACATATAGATAATATCTAAGCTCGTAAAGTTAGCTCGATAGCCAAGCTCGATTACAAGCTCAAATTGAATATTTTTTTATGTTATTTTAATAATCAAAATTATGTTTTTTATAAATTTTTTACAATAAAAAAGCACATTAATAAGTTACTTAAAAAATCATGATGACATATAGATAATATCTAAAGTGAACTTCTATTAAAATAGGCCATGAAAACATTTTAATCTTCCAAGCAAACCCAATCGGAAGAAATAACATTTTATCGATATAAAAGCCTTTCTACTTCAGTCTAAAGGAAAATTTTCAGAAAAAAAAAGTGAATAATAGATGATGGAAAGGAGAAATTTACCCAAGTTCATTTTTTCACCCGATCTAAACTTACGGCTCACTCTGTAGCTTGTTTCCTTTTAATCGAGTTGGCTCGACGGGCACTCGAGTCGGACAGGG